TACTTTACAAGAGTGTTTGTTTGTTTTTATAATACTACTTGAATGATCGTTTATATAATAACTGTTGATATGGACGACTTTCACAAAAGGTGGGGGGGGGGGGGGGGGGTTGGTTATACAGCTGTTCATTGAAATTCCTGTTCTTCGACATTTACATTTGAAACAAAATAATCTAAAACGAGAGCTGATCATTTTCAATCATTATTGGTGTTTTAGCATTAGCATCAAAATAATCATTGACAGCAGGGGCGGATCCAGCCATTTTCAAAAGGGGGCGGGGGGTCCAACCATCTGCCCAAATTCAAAAGCTTTGATCGTCAAAAATAGGGGGTTCCAACCGCTGGGACCCCTCCCCCTGGATCTGCGACTGGGCAGCTCAGCGGGGTATCGTTATTAGTGACAAGCATGACAAGGGAGTCTCTGTAGGACCTAGCATAATATATTAGTGACATAGTCGTAGATCGGATGGATAGAATTTAACATTGTTATATACGGAAAAAGTAAAGCATTTGCTTTAAATAGTTTATCAACATTTTGTACAATCAGAAGTCAAAGTTTTATCTGTATACACCAATATCACGTTTGTTTTTAGGAAGGCGTTACCAAACAGATGCACCGCACAATCGCTTCCTACTGTGACATATTAACATAAGCATTGTGACATATGAAATTTACTGGAAAGTGCACACAAACATGAAACTTGTCTATTTTGAGGTAAATAAAAGCACTGTGTTATGTAAAAGTGGCCAATGTGTCCCTTTCGGTTTGAAAATTTCCCATTTAAAAAAATTATTCTGGTCAAGCAGATGACCAAAAAAATATTCTGAATCCAGATTTTGCCCATACCTTATAGTCTTAATTTTGAAAACAAAATTTGATTGATAGCGTCGAAAAACTAAATAAAAATGTTCGTGCTTTGCGAAAAAAAACATAAACCCCCCCTTGAGGTTAAATGGTTGCTCCCTTAAAGGAAAACATATAAAATTTACCATTGGTAAAACATTATTTTGTCATATCCCATGATATTTCTTAACAATTTCCCTTTCTGACAGGTACATATCAAAACCTGTAAAAACGGGTGTATTACATTTGCATTGATTTGGGGATGAACAGATATTACATTTACACACAAAAAAAAAAATCACATTTGTGCGACTTTCAACCTATATATTTAGATCTACCTGTATATCTAACATGCTATTAATTACTCCAATCTTAATTGTTTAGGATTGTCAGTTTTACTAGCAAAGGTTTTGTGGTTCTCTCATGGCACTCCAACTTCCTCTACCAATATATATGATACACAGACCTCCAGGAACTAGCACAATAGTCATGCATGATAGTGTTGAAATTGGCATTAAACACCAATCAATCAAAATATAAAATGCTTTTCAGGAACTTGTTTACCTATTTTGCTGTTTAATCTATATAACATTATGTGTTTTCAATACCCATTAATTTTTAAATTTGCTTGTGAAAACAAACCAACAATGATATACAGAAGAAGAAAAGGCTGTATAGTTTATTGAAGAACTTAGTGTCACACCTAGTTCTTAATTTTTTTTTGAAATTTATACATTTTCAGTGAAGTTGTGATTTTCATAAATCTGTTGACTAACTAGTAAATGATCATCGGAAGATAATCAATCTCATTGGAGATCATACCACATCTCTTTATTTTTTTGATAGTGCACCTGAGATAAATTATGACCTCTGTCTGTGTGTTGTAGTTCTTAGCTGTGTGTTGTAGTTCTTAGCTGTGTGTTGTAGTTTTTAGCTGTGTGTTGTAGTTCTTAGCATTGTGTATGAATTTCATAGAATTTGGACAAGGAAAATTTCAGTAAGTGTGTTGAAACGAAAATGGGATGGACGGTAAGGCATTTGAGTGTTATACTTAGTGCCCCCATTGCCTATGGCGGTGGCATAGAAATTAATATACATAAAGGTACATGTATATGTATAACATAAGCAACACGACGGGTGCTACATGTGGAGCAGGATCTGCTTACCCTTCCGGAGCACCTGAGATCACCCCCAGGTTTTGGTGGGGTTCGTGTTGCTTAGTCTTTAGTTTTCTATGTTGTGTCATCTGTACTAATACTTGTCTGTTTGTCTTTTTATTTTTTGGCCATGGCGTCGTCAGTTTGTTTTCGATCTATGAGTTTGACTGTCCCTCTGGTATCTTTCGTTCCTCTTTTATGGTGTCTTTTTGGCATATCACTCATATATGCTTTATATTTGAGTATATATGAGACTATGTGAAGAATAAACATTATTCCCTAAATGATTTAGTTTACAACAAAATGGATATAAAATATTAAGAAAAAAAGAAAAGTGGAATTTATTTGTATGCCACTGTCACTAGGCGAAGGGGGTATTAAGTGCTACCCTTGACCGTAACATTTGAAGAAAAATGCAATTATTAAGATTAGATAAAAACCACAGTTCAGCATGTCTTGATTTTTAGGATTGTTTTTTTTAAAAGACAACCCCTGTAATTCAGTGGTGTATGTTGGTTCATGGCAGTCATGTGTTTTCCATAAATAAAATTATGGACAAGGCCTTTAGTTTTCTCATTTAACAGATTTAAACTGTTTCACATTTTTTATGTTGGACATTTTATAGCTGACTTAATACATGATAGGAGTTTTCATTGTTGAAGGCCGTAAGGTGACCTATATTGCTTATATCTTTGTAATTTGAACTCTGGTGTATGGTTGTCTCATTGGCAATCATGCCACATCTCCTGATTTTCAAATGAATTAGAACATAACTGATGGCATTTGTTTTCTATGATGAAAATTTTATTCTCACCACATAATACTGTATGGGTTCTGGTCATTGCTGATTTTTGTTCTGTGCCTTATAGTTTTTAACATTCTCGTTCTTCAGTCTCGGGCGAATAGTTTCTAATTTACAATAATACAACATCTCCTTATCTATTATATCCATGTTTATTACCAGTTGGCGAATGCAAGACAGACAGCCCTAGACAAAAGATTACAGGAAAAGTGACCATGAAGTTTTGAGATAAATTTGTCTTTGATTTACAATATTCATACATGTTATATGTTTTAAGTTATATTTCGTATTTTCTTGAATAATTATATGGAAAGCAACTTTGATATCAACTTAATTGTCATAATATTCAGAATATCTAGCAATAAACTAATGCAATGTCTGTTTCAATATTAATTTTAAAGTTAATTTGTTCCTAAAAATATTTTTATATATAATACATGTACACATATACATGATATATTATATATTTACTGAAAATAAATTCATGACCATACAAATGTGAAATTAGAATAGGTAATAATCATGATGTATTTGTAATAATCAGAAATTGGAATAAGCATGTACATACTATACATGCTATAGGTAATAAAGAGATGTCAACAAAACAGTAAATTGTCTTGAGGCGTGAATTTCAAAGGGCCATAATACTCGTAATTTTACATTGTTTTCCTGGATATTCAAAACATTACAATTTTCAATGTTATCTCTTTCTATAAGCCTAATGTATGCGGCAATAAATCCTAACGTTGTATTTGGTAAATCAAGAGCTAAAAGTCAAATTAAAACCAATATGTTTTGAAGTATTGTGAAATTCCTGACCCAATAAGATAGTTCATGACAACATCATAACCAATTCATATGGTTTTCAGATACTATATGGGATATTTTAATTAAATAAAAATGTGTCAATGAAATTTCCAGCAGAATAAACCATAAACCCATCAATCGTATTAATTAGATATCTAATGGTGCAATGGGGAAAGTAATTACCGACATTTAAATGGGAAGATGAAAACTGATTACCTATGGACATACCAATTACTACCGAATGATATGTTACCTCAGTCAAAGTTCAGCCCATTGATAAATTTGCCACATAATAAAGCTACCCAATATATAATTATCACACGCTTTTTCATCTAAGCGTTACAGTATATTTTCAACATCTGTCTTACTTGTCGCTCGTCATTTAAAAAAGGGATTGGTGGACCTAGCAAAGCTTTCGACACCAATTCAAATTTTTGGTAAAAAAGGAGAAAGATACTTAGGGGCACAAAAAACTCAAAAGAATTAAACTTCATGTGGAACATATCAATAAATTGCTGTGTTTGCATTCACAATTATGGTCGTAAATGTATATTTCCTATGCAAATGATCAGCATTGTTTTAAATCTTAATCCATTCCATCAATCAAATTCATTTTTTTGTACAATGTAATTCTATTTTTACCAAAATGGAGATTAGGAATATACTGTTAAATCCATACTTTATTCTGCGTTTGATAACAAACGTGTAGTCCTTTGGTTATTTTGTCAGTGGGTGATTGTCTCAATTAACAATACCAAATATCTCTTTTTATTCATTTGCAAACGTTAACATTGCGGTAATCATAAGAAACAATGTATATATATTTGTTCCTTCGCATAGCCTAAAAACTAACATATTATTCTTTTTTCTTATTTTTTAGACAAATTTCAAATTCTTTTTTCGTATCGCACAAGATATGATGGAAGAAGCTATATCTCTGATGATGTTTTAACGATGATGAAGGCAAAATTTTTTTTAATTGATAAGCAAACATATGGTGTTCTTCATATATGACGCCATCAAGAATTGTCGCCTTTATGCGTGTTTTCACAATAACGAAGCCAAAGTAAACCAAACACATTTGACATTAGAATTGAATTTTGACTGATGTAGAACAGAGACCAAGCAATCCACACGTTGATTTTGAAAAAAAAAAGAATTAATTGGAAAGGAGAAACATAGAAAGTGTATCGTGAACATTGACCCGTATATCTCGTGATATGTAGTTTGGTCTTTGATATTTTGAGATTTTAAATGGACCATGCTATTTTTTTGCTGAATAAGATATCATATGCTTCTTGCATTACAAAAAATATTAAATTTCAATAGAACTACTTCATGTAAGTGCAATTGATGCTGGTATATGTTTCTTTAATATAATTATTTTTCACCTGCTATGTCTGGTGTGTGCTGTCATATTCCAAATTGTTTCGATTCTAATAGGAAAATTCAGAACTTTTGTACTGCAAAGTGGACCTATAATACGCGAACAAAAGGCATCAATTTTGATATGATGAAGCAAATATAGAAAATCACCCGTTTTACGATAAACAAATGAACAGATACATGTAAACTTACTTTTAGAATGATTTTATTTAATTTCCTAGCGTGCAACACCAACGCAAATGTCCATTATGATTTCCGGCGTTGTTCAAAACACAGCTGATGTTTCAATTTCAATTGTGACGTCAATCATGTGCAGCCCATGTTTTATTGGAATTAGAAAATGGCTTTGTTTCCAAAGCGAATGACCAACGTCATATTAGAATTGTAATTTAAGTATTATGATTAATGGAAACAAGAAATGTAAAATGTTCAGTAACGTTATCAGATTTTAACAGCTTAATATAACATAAAAAAAAAAATCTTACTATGTGTACATAACAACATACATACAAAAGGAAAATGAATTTACCTTATCAAAATAGAAGCATTTCGTAAATTAAATACGTTGTATCAATTAAATTCATTATTTGTAATAATATTTTCCCAAACAAAAGAGGTTAAACAGACAATGTCATGCATTGCTTAATCTTAACTTTTCTTTCATCATGCGTTTGAGATGATATTACAGATTGTTAATTTTTGTATTGACCATAATATACAAACATCTAATAAATAACAACATGTATTTTCTAAAATTGAAATAAGATTCTGTAAAACATTACCTTGTTTGACTATTATCCACAATGTAAAAATAAGTCTAGACTCGATGATTGATGCCTTTTCTCGACTTTCACAAATGTTTTAGTCACTTCTGGCAAAAAACTACAAATGTTACAAAATAAACGATAAAAGTACATCAACTACATAATCAAGCTCAGACAAATAACACTTCAAAAGCGTTAGGCATCCGAAGCTATTTTGGGGATTAAACTTCATCAGGAACGCTCATAAATGATTAAATATCGATTTTTATTCGACGAAATTTCAAGAAAAGTATTATGATCTCTCCCTCTCAATATTTAAGATAAAAACTTTTATTTTGACCAATCATTATTTTTTATGTAGTTTTCATGTTTTCCGCTGGTCCTATATCCTTTTATATTCTATTATGAACTACTGTCTTAGTTATGAATCTTCAATATATGTCATATTTTTCAATCTTTTTCGTGGAAAGTTCCGTATTAATAAACGCGAATTGTTCTTAGCCTGGTGTCAAATTAAAGACTAGAATTCAGATAGATCTAATCTATAATTTAAGATCAAAAGTTGATTCATCAATATATTTTGTTTTTGAATCGTCTGGGACCTGCCTCCTTGAGCTATACCGTAACATCAACTTTTGACTTATTTGTAATTATAAATTGGCATAAATGCTTGTAAAGAGATTACTTATTACATAGCATAGGTCATTAAAACACAGAGAGTACAACACACAACACAAACAACAAATATCCAACTGCAATGAAAGTATAACAAAATACGCAAAACCAAAGACATACAAGAGAACGAACAACAAGTGGTCAACTGAATTGGAACAGGAACAAAATGTGTTGGGGTAAGTGCGCCCATATAAATAAAATAAAAGCATGTACTCCTGCTTCCGTTTGGATGTTTATGTATTACATATTACGTGAACAAGGACATTGAAGACATAACATCATTTGGAAAGCATTGTCAAAATATTGATTTCAACCTTTTCTTCAATGATAAATGAGGAGTGATGGTAACATCCATTATTAGGCATTATTTGGTCATTAAAATTGCAAAAAATGTTAATTTATTAAAGCCTTTCAACATTATGTGATTATTTTTTGATATATAAACCAGCTGCATAAATCTAGAATATCAAGTGCAAAAAGGTCACTCGTGATGTCACTATGATGTCATTAACTTGCGTATTTTACATAAAATAGCATTTTCAAGCAATGTTCATGATGTTGTTAGTTAAAATGTATATAAATTAAAATGAAATGAGTTAAAATGTTTTACACACATTATCATCTTTGTAAAATGCATTCTGTAGTAAAATATCATTTTGGGTAAATTTTTGCTTGAATATAAATATCAATGATAAAATCTTAAAAATGAGGCTAATGTGGGAGTTTTTGCTGTTTTGCACTAAATGTAAGAAAATTGAAACCCTTATGAGAGTCTGGATGGGTATATACAGAATAGTGTATATTCATTTAATGGTATCCACAAATTATACAATTAGATATACTTTTCATAATTGGCCAAAGTTAAGTCATTGTTTTAAGGCTAAGAGATATAAGGTTTTATTACAGTTTTTGAATTGAAATATAAGCACACAAATTCGTTCGGAGAATCTTTGATAACCAAAAATATATAAAAAAAAAAAAAAAAAAACCAAAAAAAAAAAAACCAAAATAAAGAAAAAACATTTGTATAATAAACCATTAAAAAATTAGGCATACATATGTACTCACAAAGAATGTATTATGTGTAGCAGCTTTTCAAAGCTATGAATGAATAATGTTGATGTTTAAAACATTGTGTAAATTTTTGGCATATTTAGTTTCTATGTTGCATTTTATGTATGTTCTTTCTTGCTATTTACTAGGATTTGACCATGTTGACAGAAACAATGGAAAACAAAATGGGCCTAACTTTGTTACTTTAATCATAAATATATATTATCGCGTTCAAAGAAACATGAACTAAATGTAAGTGCAAAAACATAATCCATACTTTATAAACTTAAAAGATTCTCCATGTGTATAATTTATGTAGTTATAAATATCAAAATCAATATAGGCATTTAATTTTTGTAGCATATACAAACAGGTTTAACAATGAAAACAATAGTATACCCATTTAAGTAAATTATGTGACCCATTGTGTGCTGAACTATCATTTAAATAAAAAATCGAAGAAAGTTCAAATGCAATTTCAATTGAAAGTTCTGAAATGTAACTGGAAATTTACTTACAAAATACCAAGTGAATTACGTTAATTACAGGTTAACAGCTGATTACAGAAGTAATGAATAAATAAACAACATTTACCTTAATGTTTCAAATATCATCATGATCATAGACCAATAAATTAAGAAAATTCATGCTTGCAGTTTATTGCTGCGATTATGTTTTAACGGTACAATGTTAGAAAAAAAACTTTCCAAATAGGGAAAGTTTTAAAGCTTATCTTGCCCATGAGTTTGTCAGTCCTGAAGAACCTGAATTTCAATCAAAATTTTTCGAAAATTTCTTGCTATCTAAATTCTGAATTTCTGTCTGTTCGTCTTTTAAAATGTTAATCCGACATTTAAATGATGGAATGTATGGTGTGTAATTTTTTTGTGATAATCCATTTAAATTATTGCAGATTGTTTAATAATCTTGTCTTTCTAGAAGATGTTATAAAATTTTCAAAAATGACAATTGATTTCTGAAATTCAATGCACTTTACATAATAATTTCATTTAGAAAATTTTGTTTCCCTATCTTATTTGATAGTCGTATTCTGCTTTTTCGTTATCCTGGGACCATACATATAGGTTTTAATATAGAATGAATACTTAAAGTACATCTCATTCTGTTAATTGTGCAGCACTAATGTTGATATATCGCATGTCAAATCGCGTTGTGTATCTTGTCCTTTCTCAAATGCTGCAGAAATACAGCACTTGAACTGATTGTGGAATGTGTATAGTTAATACATATAAACTAAAATAGAAACAAAGATTCCATTCGCGCATTCAAAAAATTTTAGATAGTTAGACACTGTTTTAAAAGTCATAAAAGAAACAGTTGGTAAATAAAATGTAATTTTGTACAATTATGTGAATTTCAACATTGTACGCCTTCAAATCTATAATAAACTCGCTTTGCAAGGACTAGATTATGCAAAACATCAATATTATTGTACGGCATGAGATGTGGTTAAAACAAAACAATATAGAACTCCACAACACAGCTATATTCCTTTAAAAGACAATTGTATCATGCAGATATTTGTAATACAAGCGCAAGCTTAAATAATTTTAATTTTAAAATTAATATGATAATAGTTCGTACTGATGATTTGTTTTGTAGGCTAAATTAACAGCAAGTTAAAAAAAACCAAACGTATCTTTCCACAGATATGTTTCTCGTGACGTAGTTATAATATCGTTCCTCTTATCCTCAATGCTGACTTTACAAAATGTTTCGTATCACTAGATGTTTGCAAGATGTTCACCTTCCATAAGAAGCACGACGTGTGGCATTAATTAAACCCTTCTTGGACGTTTAAAATCCTATTTTAACCGGGGTTTGTGACGTTTTGTTCTATTTCAAATTGTTGTTTTCCCCGTTATTTCATATTTAAAAGTCTTTGACGTTCATAAGTCAGGTAAAATATTTTAACAAAGCAAACTATATTTATATTGGAAAATATTTTGGTTGGTTTCAGACAGTCATTTCACACTGTCTGTCCTTTCTGCCACATGATCTGTTTTTGAAAAGTATTATATCAGGAATTCTAATTTTTTTTGTAATGTGTGGTTATCATGATCTGCATGTATTACTGTAATGACTGATTGAGTTTTATTTGTAACATTATGTAACTCTAATCTGAAATAAGATAAATTTGAAATTTGATATCGAATTATATCAATTTTTGTCTTCAATTCCACATGAAAAACAAAGATGTACTTTAGTGAGGCGCCAAAGGGGAAAGAATTGTACAGCAATATACAGAAAATCGGTCATACGATAAGTCAGATATTTGCAGCATCAAAGCAAATATTAGATTATTTATAAGAGTAATATTAATAACTTATAACAACTAAAAAGAGAATAATGGATATGAATAATCAAATTCTATGGTAATTCACCTTTGACAGTGTTGTGCAAAAATTTAGAATATACTCATACTGATAACTACATGAGTGAGTCATTCAGTTCACATTTCTAAATGACAATAGCACTTTATATATTTGGAACGTACGAACCCCTTTCGTGGATTGACCTTAATTTTCCTTCACCGGGCACGTTCAAATCTGACATTTTGAAAGCAAAATCTTTATTATTACTTGAATATATGTCCCTTATAAATTAGTGAATGAAGTCAAATTATCAATTTGTTTCGTAGACCGCGCTTTTTATTTGCACTTTGTTAATTGTTTACATATTTTTTCATCCTCAGTCATGTCAACATACGAATTGGATTTCCCTGTGTGTACTTTTTAACTGTTTTCCTTACCTGAAATTAACATCTGCATTTAATTTTCATGTTGATAAAATCGGTATTTAAGTTACGATTCATTCATTAGCATCGCGAAGTTTACTTTGTCAATAGTCATAAAATATGAATCTCCCCTTTCTCAGCGAACTACATTAAAAATGGTAAAAAAGAACGAACTTTACGACTTTATGATTGAATATTAACTACTGTATATAAAATCTGAATGCTCATTATATACATATATATTTACTTTATGAAAAATGTGTTAACAGTTATGCAGATGCTAGTCATAGGTAATTTAAACAGAAATATGTTTGTACTTCGCAGGAGGAAAATTATCTACTTCTGCAAATATAATCAAATCACTTCGTATTAGTTACTTGCGGTGTGTTAGTTCAAAGTCATGCACCTCATCAGTCGTTATTATTGAAACTTCTTGTGAGTTTCTCTGTTGGTAACATTTATTACTTATATAGTCTGTAACTGAACATTAAGCTCTATTATATTGCTGTTTATGTTTCTATATGGATATCTCCTTTATTTGGTTATGGTATCATTTTACTCTTCATCTTTCGCTGAGGGTGGTAAAGGGGGGGGGGGGGGGACGGGGGGGGGGGGTGCTTGCACGGAAAAAA